AATGTTCGAACTTTGTAAAGGTTCCTGGTCAAAGATATGAAGTTTTCCGATTGATAAGCGTCATAATAATCACAGTTATAGTTTACAAAGTTTATAGCACACTGACCATAGCGAATTAATAATAGATACTCTTTTTTTTCGGCACGTCGCGTTGGTTATATTTATAGGCGTGTGGAGGCGTTCTAGAAATTTCAGTTTTACATAATAATACTGATCTACATTTAAGCGTTTACCTATATACATATTGTTGATTCTAACTCTCGAGAATCTACTACAATTTTGGAGAATAGGCGGGAGTTTCGCAATACATATTTAACAGTATAAGTCATATATGTTTCTAAATATAAATTTAATCCAAACGAACGTTGATATTAAAATAAATATTTAACAACTAATTTGTTACACTATACATTATTATGTTTGAATATCTGTCTAGCCATTCAACCATTAATACGTTAGAAAATTTGTTTAGCCATACATTATTATGTTGGAATATCTGTAAAATAATAATTGTTATAATATCTGTTAGAATATCTGTCTAGTCATTCAACCAGTAAGATAACATAATAACTGTCGATTCATTTAGCTGCTAATGTTAGAATATATTTCTAGCTATTCAAATCAAATCCTAACCATTCCTGTCATTTGTAGTATTTCTTTAAACATCAAGTGCAAGTAAAGAAAAAATGATATTTGAAATATTGGACAAATATATCAGATATCAATAACTGTTATATTACTATTCCATTTAAATAAAAAAGAGAGTTTATCTCAAGCAGTAAGTGTTTGATGTTTATGTTTTCTCAGTCATTGTTAACTGTACAGTTGAAAGTGTATGATTTATTAATTTTTTTCTGAAAATATTATTTACGATATCAGGAACGAGTCTCTTTATAGTAATAATTAGTATAAAACGATAAAAAAACATGGCTAGAATCGTGATATGTAGCAAAAAATATTTTAATCCAATATTGGGAAACCATGCTTACAAATTCTTCATTAAAAATGTGAAAGGTCAACTCCAGTGTGTCAACATCTATGGTAAACTATGTGTTACCATGGCTCAGAAAATTTTGAGCACTCAACGTCACCTTAAATCGTTATCATTTAAGGTTGGCTGGGACTTCGTAAACAATTTAGCAGTGACATATTTGAGAAACTTATCCTACTTATGGCTTATCCAGACAAAAATAAACGAGCAATGATTTTAGTATGAAAACCTTTTAATAACTACCTGTAACTAGATTTTAGTTTGGTATACGTTTACATTTGGTAAAGTGTAGCAGTAAAGCCAAAATGAATGATTATCTCTGGCAATAAACGTGAAATGTGACGTGCATAACACCCATGAATGAAAACAAAGGTATCATTTTACCTTCGATAAGCTGACTTCCGCCTGAAGCCATTAAAATTCAAACAAAGAGTCCCTCAAAATGTCTAAAACCCATATATATTCTTTTTTTTTACGCCGAGTGCACTTATGATTCAATAATT